AAATTTAGCAATTTTTTGAAGAGAGCAGATCCTGAAATGACCTCAAGGACTGTGTCTGAAAGTTCTTAGTAACGGCAACACAATTATGCGATACAATTTTCTCACAGGAGCTGCGACACAATATTTTTTACTGTGTAGTAGTTAACTTCACTAAAAAATGCATTTCGTTGGAGTTTTGTACTTCTTACTTGAATTTCTATTTCCCACTCCACAATCTACTCAATTTTATAGTTAGTGGATCATTGCGTTCAATCCATTCTTGTTTCGTCAACACTTTTTAATCCGTTGTAAAACATGGAATTTTAGTTGCCATTATAAAATTTTTATTTCAAAATGATCATGCATACAATATAGTCTTGAAAAACATTTGACAAAAAGATTAAAACTTTTTAACGCCTATTGTTTTTGATACCTTACACTAAAAGTCATTTAAATTTATACTATTTTGTAAATAATCCAAACGATGATTACGATTAACATATAATTTCTTACGTGGTGTAAACTATTTTGCTTTGTACAAATTTTTTTCAAGGCTATATTATATGCATGGTCATTTTGGTATATTTATACATTTTTTATTATCAACTACACCTGTTTTCTGTACACTATTGGTTTTGATAAAGAAATTCGTTACTCAGTTGATCTTTTTTATTGAATTTTATCACCTTTTTTCAGATTTAAAATTGTAGTATACATTGTTATAATTGCAACTATAATTCCATGTTTTACAACGGATAAAAATAAGTGTCGACGAAACAAGAATATCCCTTGCGTTCTACTGTAACCAATGCGTCAGTTCGCTATTTTGAGAAAGCCTGTACGTATACAGTTTAATGTTATACACACTAAAGATGATGTGCGTCATTAGTGACTAGTGCGATGTAACAACACAACTTCAATGGTTGTCTATTATTTAGAACAGGAAAAATGGGTTTTAAAGAATGGGTTTACTTTTGCAGTTTTTCTATAAAAGTAAACTTATTTGGTTCTTTTCATGTATCTAGTCAAAATTAGTTGTGTATATTTTCTAGCTACTGTTATAATACTTTCTGGGAACCAAAACTGGTATCATCTCAACCATGTCTAGTTATATGAATAGAAATTCGTTCCATGCAATATTCTTTATACTCTAACTGAAGACATATAATATTATTTTTTAGCAACATAGAACCGCTCAGCGGATACATAAACAACAAATAGCTAAAAGAAAATAACATAAATGTCCCAAAACTATACACAATATAAAATGCGAACTATGAAAAACAAAACGAAAACTTATTACACACTCCATGTATTACATATCAAATGAATAAAATCGTTATCATTATCAATTATCACACTTAGAGCCTCATAAAAGTTTAAAAACTCAGAATAAGTTATCTGTGGATAGTTCATACAATAACGAAATGTATCACAAAATCTTTCCCATATTTTATCATCGGACATGGTTCCTAAACCGTATAAGATAACTTAAAACAAACTCGATGTACATTCGCACTCCTCTTACCTCGTACAGAACATGGATGACCATAAAGATTGAGAAACTTTTTCATTTTGTCTAAGTTTGTTTGACTAGATTTCATCGGATCAAGACGCAAATAAGCCTAAAATATGAGAGATCGTGGAAACCGCATATAACCACTGTTCTCATTAAAAGCTTTCTCAACATTATCTGATGTATTTCTATCCGATTAGAATATCAAACAAAACTAGTTCAAATTTACTAACAACAAAAGATTATGTGCTTAAAATAAATCATTATTTGCCTCGTAATAAGTTTATTTTGATTCTTTCAGTAAAAACTCGAACAAAATCATACCTTTCTCACTTGATTAAATCGAACTTCATTTAATTCTCCGAATACTAGTGCTAAAAATTCATTAAAATCACCTTGTCCATTTCTATTTGTATCAATATGTTGCCAAGCGTATGAAAAATGCTAGTGAAAAAAGAAAATAGACAAAGAAATACAAATGATTAATTATTTCCTATTATTTATTTTATTTTCAACATACTCCAGCATTAAGATGAATTTTAAATTCATGTAAACCCGCTAATAAATCTTCTTTTTCACAATAATCATTTGTTTTTGAACGTTTTCTAAAAAATGTTGCCAAACCCGTATAGACAATTAATATTCGATTTTTAATTTGTGGATAAATAAGTTGATGTAGATCATTTAAATATCGTTCATGTTCTAATTGTTCATTCGATTTTGGATGTTTAACAGCATAGACGATTTCACGACGTTTAACATCCTGAATACCATCAAGTCTACAACAAAATATAAATAATAGATAAAACTTTATGAATATATATATATATATGAGATTTCGAGATACATACAATAAGGTCTGTCTCTCTAAATCATCAATTGAAATAATAGTAAATTTAACAACAGGTTTAGAACAAATATTTTCTGGCAACGATGTTATTAATCGTGTTTCAAATTTAATTTGAGCATTCTAAAAATAAATAAATTTCAGATAATATCTACATTGTATATAGAAAAATAATATATCAATGCAATTTATAAATGTGTATGAACAATTTCGACAGTTAGTAATAAAGACTATTATATGTTGTACTACTTCGTAGCCAAGAATTTTCTAAAAACATACGTTGTATAAATCAAATAAAGTATATGGTTGTCCTTGGTTGTAACCCGATAAATGACAATATTGATCGCGTGGAATTAATGGTAAAGCATTTGGACTAAAATACAAAAAATGTTTATAAAGGAAAATATTTTATCGTTATACACAGAAATATATTAAGTTACCGTTTTCCTAATATTCGATATTCGTAAATGGCTAATGTTCGATCAAGTACAAAATAAAAACCAAATAAATCGCGTAACGCATCTTTACCATCTCTATCGATAAAGAACAATTATACTATTTAATTTATAATAAGATTTTATTTTAATATACGAACCGTGTTACTAATCGACAAGAGAATCGAATTCGTTTATTAAGTAAATTTTCTGTTAATGAAGTGCTCGTTTTTACTCTAAAACAAAAATAAAATGTACTTTGACGGTATGAATTGATAAATAGTGAGCATTCAGTTTACGACTATTCTACTATTTAAAAATAATTATTTTGAGTCTGCAAATTTCTGTTTTAAGTGTCAGTTTTGGATGAAGTTTGGACTTAAGCAATGACAGTTTAGTTTTTATATAAAAATAAAAGTCAGTTACACCTGTTTGACTACTCTCATTTTCAAAAAAAGCATCTTTTTTTTGTATAAACTTTATTTGAGGGATGAGATAAAGAAAAAGAAAAGGAATAAACCAAAATATTAGTCTCATTACATGTTCAGACTTATGTTATTGCTCATCGTTTGAGACTACAACCAAAACGTGTATTTTATGTATTTTGAATCAAGGACTGTTATCTGTAGTTTGAAATTTCAGTTGTTTCATTAATAAGACATCTGAAGGTGTTGAATTTGTAATAATGAATTAGAAAAATTAAAAAAACTTAACACTTAATAGTCCCAAATGTATAAACTTTTGAGATATGTGAAGGCGTTAAGAAGTGTTTTTTTTTTCATTTAAAGAGTTCAAATGTATTCGAGGTACAAAATGTCGATTGTAATGCATTTAATGGAAATTTTATGCATAAAAAATAGTCATTGAAAAGAATGTGAGTGTTATCGATCTTTAAAGCATACGAAGGTCCTAAGTTCTTATCTTATACAGGAGAAAAAAAGTTCAGGATCTTAATTTCGCGATCTAATCAGAAAAAACCAAAATTTGACCAAGAAAACAGATCCTATTTATATTCATTACATGTCAGATTCCTGTTGTTGGACCTAAACATTCTTCAGGACTGAATCACGAAATTTAAATGAGATAGAAGACACTTAATAAACTATATATTGCCTACCTTGTTTCATGTAAACGTCTGTCGAGATTTCTCCTAGGTTGTTGTTGTATAGTAAATGGTCTGTTTCTTTCAAAATCTTGTTCTGGATCACTTAAAACATATTTACTCAATTGATCAGCCATCACTGTTTCTGTCATTAATTCTTGTTTTCGTTTATCATTCATATTATCCTTAATATCATACAGATATATTTTTAACTATCTTTAATAAAGATAAACATATTTTTAAAGCTTACTGCTTCTATCTTTCGTAAAGAATCGTGACGTGATCCACTTTCGAGCCAAGCTAGATGAAAATCTTCGAGTGACAAATCATATGCTTTTCTCGTTGTCCTTTGATTCGAAAGGTACGTAGTAGTAGGTTTATCATTAAGGGCTAGGCCAGTCCCAATTATATTAGGACGGACTGAATCTGGTAAACGAGTAGATTGCGCTTGATTTCGTGCTGATTCATATCTTGGCACTTGTGGAATTTGAACATCGATAGCTCGTACTCTCTCAGGATCCATATTATATTTTGTATTCTGCTATTAATAGAACAAATGGACTATAAACAATTGCGTGTAGTAGAAAAATGCCTATGGACTTACCAATTGGTTACCGTGTCGACTTGTATAAATGGCGGCATTATGATCAAAATTCCCATAGGCTCTACTCTCCGTGCGATACGATGCTCTTCCAGTAACTGGTCTAGACAGAAAAAACGTAGGAATTCTTTTAGCATTCTATTTCCCTTTGGAATAAATACAACAAATGTTTACCTTGTTGAACTAACAAGCTTTTGAATTGGTATGTCGTCTCCATCCGATACATCACTTAAGTCTAGGGCGGGGCCGCTGAAATTAAAGTAGATATACATAATTTTTGCAGAAGGTTTTTTCGAAACCTAATACTACAAATAATCAACGATGTTGGACACCTATATTCTTTTCGCAAGTGGTTTAGTTTTCGAGAGAGTGTTACATCACATAATCATCACAATGACGTACCGCGGTGTGTTGTGATCATTAATAAAGTAAGCTTTTCTTGCATAATCAACCTTTTCGCCTGTTATCGGATTTCGTGAAATTTGATGCCTTGCTGATGCTGCACGAATTGCCATCAATCTTATTGCTCTAAGATGTTAATTCGTCTCACAAAGTCACTTCTCGATCAAAGAAAGATCTGTCAAAAATAAGTAGTGCCATCAAAGTCACTATAACCAAGAAAACGCCTCTTTAGCCAGCATTAAAGTTTTTCACCGCAGTTGTTCAACATATGTTTTATAACATATATTAATTTTGAACATCATCGTTCTTCCTGCTTCAAACAATTTGTAAATCTCTACAGTTTAGATGTCGTTATTTTTCAGACATCCAGAAACGCAGCAGCACATACTTACATATAAGCATTCTGCTACTAAAATCGATTACCG